CGCCGAGCAGGGTCCGGCCATGGGCTGCCTCAGGGAGCGGCGGAAGGAGCTGCAGGCGGGCGGGAGGAGGCTGCAGGATGGCGGGAAGGAATCTGGAGGCTGGCGGGAGGCCGGCCAGCCCGGGGAGGAAGCCAGCACGCTGCGTCGTACGGCACGGCCCATTGCTAGGGAAAGCTGGCAGGCAGCGCTGCGGCCGGAGGCCGGGCTGCCGGGGCAGCAGTGGGAGGGAGCGCTGGGACAGTGAGGCGTGAAGCACAACCTTGCTGCCGAGGCGGCTCCGTCCTGCACTCACCGGATGGGGAAGCAGGGCTGCATCTTGCGGCGAGTGGAATTCCTTGCCGTGTTTCATGGCTTGGCTCTGTCATCCATGGCTGGGGACGTGCTGCCCAAGCTGGTGACTTTGCTGCGGAGCAAAGAGATAGGGGCGAAGAGAGGCAGGGAGCTGGGATTTTGGAAAAGGCAGCAGATGCACGGAGCTCACCCTCACCTCCCCCTGCACAGCCCCCATGGAAAGCCACGCTGGGCATGGCTCGGTCCCCAGCACAGCAGAGAGATTTGTCCCCTAAAATGGGGGAAGCTTTCTCTCCTGCCATGCTCCAGGCCAGAGCCCTGCAGCTCTCATATCTGCTTAGGGTACAGGTGATTGCAGGCAGAAAAAAAGCCTCAGAGAAAGGCTTGGGTGGGAAGGGTTCCAACGCCCCTGTCGTGGGCAGGGATGCCACCCACTAGATCAGGTTGCTCACCTAAGCCCAAACCAAGTGCTGTGCCAGGGGATGCATTGTCCCCATTCTGCAGCCCTTGGCTGACCTCAAGCAGCCCAAGGAGGGGATTGCCCATGGAGGGATCCACCCTTGCTTGTCAGTGGTGCGAGGGAGAGGCGAGAACGGGGCTCGGAGCTGAGGCAGCACCCCAAGGGAATGGGGTCCAGCTGGCAGTGTGCTTGGCAGCGCTAGTCAGAGGCAGGCTATAAATACCTCTGACGGGAGATAGAAACACAAAAGCTGTCTCCGCTTTCCTCAAATAGCTCGGCAGCCGGGCCAGACAAAGGCACATTGATGGAGCAGCCGTGTCGTACCAGCTGGGCTGGGCTCCACTGGCAGAGAGAAACCCCGGCCGGGGACGGGAGCCCCCAGGGACCTGGTCACCCACAAGCATTACAGCGTCCCTGGAAGTGTTCAAGGCTGGGTTGGATAGGGCTCTGAGCAGTCTGGTCTAGGGGTGACATCCCTGCCCATTGAAGATGATTTGGTACTAGATGATCTCGTCCTTTCCAACACAACCCACTACGTAAACATATGATTCAATGGCTACACACCCACATTCTCCCTTGGTGCAGCGGGGTATAAATTCCCTAAGGATGCAAATATCTGAGCAAAATCAAGCTGTTGGGGGGCCCAGCTGCAGCTCATCCCCATAGTCGGGGCACAAAGCAACAATCACAACTCCCCACCTCCTGTTCTGCTCTTGCACATCCGACACCAGCCTGCATTTATCAAGGCTGGCAGGGAGGTTGGAGGGCACATGCCTGGAGTAACCATATCCCTGTGCTGGCACAGCTGAAAATGCAGAGAGGGCAGGAGTGAACGGGAACAGGAGTGTCCAGGGACCAGGAAAGAAGGAGTTACAGAAGCCATGCCCCAGAGCAGCCCTGGAGACCTACAGTGTCACATAGCAACACTTAACCTTCCAGGAGCACAACAGGTTTGTTCCAGGAGCGCAACAGGTTTGGCTCTGCTCACAGCAACTTGCAAGACAAAGATTGATCCTGGGCAGTGACATCCACCAGAGACAAGTTCCCTGAGTTTACTCTGGAAGGACAGGAGTGGGACTAAGGGTAAGTGTGGGATCAGACAGATGCATACAGGAAAGAGCCACTCACCTGTGCTGGGGGAAAGGCTGGGGATGGGAGAGTAGCAGGCTGTGTGGACCATGCGTTGCTGCACTGGATCAGCCCCAGCTGGCCAAGTTTGATGGGCGTGGAGGTGCTGGAGAAGGGAAGACAGCTTCCATGGATCTCCCAGCCCCTCTGCATCTTGCCTCACAGAGACTTACATGCCAGGAGGCATGGGATTTGCAGATGGCAGGCAGAAGTGAGGCAGAGAGGCAGGGGAATGGAGAGGCTACAGGACACCTGCCTCACCTAACACTCAGGTACATTTCCTTTGCAGGCCACCCTATGGCTGAGCAGCCCGTCCCAGAGACGGCCCTGCTAGCCCAGGTGCTGGCTGCAGACAACACTGAAGCCCCTTCACTCCGCACTACACGCCGTGGGTCCCAGCCCCCAGCCCGGGGCACGGAGGACAGCAAACCACCACCCCTGCTCTCCCGCCGCAACTCCATCCTCAGCCGCCGCAGCTCATTCGGGATGGTTCCAGGGAGCAGGCGTCCCTCCATTGGCCCCTGGATGCTCCACAGACGTGTTAGCTTCTCTGGGCTCCCAATTTTCCAACCCATCCTCAAGACCCGCCTTGAAAACACTTACAGGATAGGGCCAGACAAAGGCTGCAAGTTTGATGCAGAGCAGGTGCAGCGTGTGCTGGAGGGGACCCTGGCCCGTGCCTTGGGGACTACTGTATACAATCCCCAGGGCAGTGCCCCACTAGCCCAGAGCCTGACTGAGCTGCTGCAGAACCAGGCCAAGGAGGTGGTGCCACCCCGCTACAAGCTGGTCTGCCACGTGGTGTTGGGCCAGCAGGGCCAGCAGAGCCTGTTGGTGGCCAGTCGGGGACTATGGGACCCTGAGACTGACAGCTTTGCCTCTGCCACATTCTCCAATGCCTCCCTCTTTGCTGTGGCCACAGTGTACGGGGTCTACTTCGAGTAGCATGTGCCTCTGCATCCACCCAGTCTTGCAGAGCTGTAGGGAGAGAGCAACCGAAATAAAGAGGTTTTGTCCAGCTGTGTGTCATACCAGGAGTCTTGAACCAGGGTGTGTGCAAGAGCAGGATAGGGATGCTCACTCCAGCCTTAGCTCACACCCACGCTGCAGTTCCCACTACTATGGTTTGCAAAAAGACCCAAGCGGCAGCAAACACAACAAAAGGCTGGGTTTCCCTGGAACAGGCAATTGCCCAAGGCTGTTGGAGCAGCCCAGGCTGCTTCCCACAGCACAAGCTGCACCCAGGCAGATTGATTACACAGATCACCTTCAAAGCAAGCTCACAGAGCTCTTTCCTGGCTTCATGCCCAGCTCATATCCCATCACGCAAGATGTCAGTGCAAGGGCCCAGGCAACCCCTCCACCACCTGGGTCATAGCTCCTGCCTTCTGCAGCTCAGCAGAATCAGGAGAGCAGCTAGGTTGGGTCCAAGTGCAGAAAGGACTGGGAATGAGTCTGGCAGCAGCAAGGAAAAGCTGAGGCAGCTCCAGGGCTCCATCAGTATAAACAAGAGCTAGCTCTGTCCTTTGTGCCAGTCCCCTGAAAGCAGTAGAGGTACCACACGGGCTCCTCACAGCCATCCTGCCTCTCTAACCTTATCCCCCAGCACCAGTCAGTGGAAAGAAGGGTCATCCCCAACAGGCAGAAGCAGCTCTGGAGCAAGAATGAGGCTGAAACCCATTTGAGGCTTCAGCTTCAAATAAGGCAGACAGTTTGCCCTTACACAAATAAGTTTTTATTGAGGCAAGTCAGGGAGATGGGAACTGCACATGGACAGAACAACAGGAAAATAAATAATTCCATATAAATAAGATACATAAATAGTCCCACATGGCAGAGACTGCCTTGAAATAAGAAACAACCCTGGGTCCCAACAAAAAGAGGGCTTCCCCAGGCAAGTCCTCAGATCCCATCCCCCACCCTTTATCAAACCTCAAGTTGTACCAGACAATTCACAATTTGGGAAGAGACGGGGCACAGCTTGGCCCAGCACAGCTCCCTCCTTAGTGTAACAGTTGTGGAGTGGCACCTGCCAGCCCGCAGAGCCCCCGGCAGGGCAGGCAGCACCCTTCACCCCTGCCCACTCCTGGGAAGGGGATTTTCCTATCCCACAGCACCCAAAGTTTGAGATCAAGGCTGTGCCAGCCATCTCCAGGCCATGCAGAGGGTCTGTGCAACTGATGCATCAACTGGGGCAGGGGAGCCCAAGCCTCCACTACAAGTAGTTGCCAGCCCCAAACAAGGCCCAGCCAGCCCCAAACTCGGCTGCAGGACACTCAACCCACCTCCTGTAACACCCCAGTCCATTCCATCAAGACCAGCACCACCAGAACAGGAGCTGCCACTGGGAAGACAGCGATTGCCGAGCCAGGGAGCAGCAAGGATATCCAGATCCACTGCTGTAACCACATCCACATTGTCTGAGTCCAGAGTCCAGCTGAGCACCAGCATACACGATGCCCAGGGGGGTAGCCAGCACCACATCATACCTCCCAATCTCATGGGAGGGCAGGGGGAAACCTCTACTTCCAGACAGAGTCCCCCCAAGGTCCCAGACTAGGCCTCAGCCCATTCTTGGAGAAGCTTGAGGATGTATCTGAGGCGGTGGTGGAGCTCAGGAGAGCAGCCCAGCTCCTGGATGCTGCACAGCTTGTAAGTGTAAGAGTTGCGCTCCCGGTTGATGTAGGTGACAAGGCAGGAGTGGTCAGGCTTGCTAATGATCACCTTGGTGTGGTCGTTGTAGAAATTCACCTAGGAGACAGGTTGGGCTTGGTTTAACCCGTGCTTCCCACAGCATGTTGGGAGCCAGGATGGAACCACATTTCCTGCCTCAACCCGTTCCTCCTCCCCAACCTGCCCGGGAGCATCCCTGCCCATGTCCCGTGGCAGGAATGAGCCAGCCCTAGCACAGGGGCAGACAGAAGCATCCAACTGTAGTGTTGTGTCTCCCTATGGGCTGGGGAAGCTGCAACCAGCAGCTCCAGGCACTGGAGCAGCATCCTGCACCCACAGCTGTTTTCACAGCTGGATTTTCCATTTGGGCTGTGGCAGACAAGATCCAACACAGACCAGAAGACCCCCATCTGGCCTCCTCTTCACCAGGGTCTGAGCATCTCCACTGTTCCACACATACCTGGAGGGTGCCACTGCTGAAGAGCATGAGTAAGGCTTGGTCAGTCTTCACCCACTGCAGGAGGAGCAGGGCTGGCTGCCCGAGGTCATCTATGCTGGGCAGGTCACCTCCCTTTGAGAGAAGGGTCTGCATAAGCCACTGGTCCCACACATGGGAGCACTTTCACCAGCACACACAACACCAAAGCTGGGTACCCCCTCAGTGGAGTCCCCACACCCAGGGCACAACCCTGCCACAGCTGCAAAAGCAGGGAGTCCAACCAGCCCAAGTGGGGTGGTCAAGCCATGACCCAGTGTCCAGCCCGGGACTCCAGCACTCACCTTCATGAGATGCTGCTCCATGTAGGACGCAAAGTAGCGCAAGACACTCATCTGTCCCTGCAGCTGCTCGGGGATGGCAGACACAGAGAACACCAAGTGTTTGCTGTTGGTTGGGTTGTAATGTACAGTCCTGGAAGGAGCAGAGCACGAGTTTTGGGGATGTCTACCCTGGTATAGATTCCCCCTTCCCACCCAAGGGGCTTCCTCAGAGACAGAGATCAGCCCCCATTCCCATTGCTCACCTGTGGTTGGGGGAGAGCGTCATGTGCGTGCCATTGTTGAAGAGGACCCCAATGCTGCGGTTGGAGAGCTGGTAGCCAAAGCCATACTTGTTGGAATAATCCACCCACTTGCTCACCCAGACAAAGTGCTCATGGCGGGCCAGGGAAGCTGGGTTTTTCTCCGCTGTTGGAGAATAGAGGAGGTGAGCAGTGCAGCCAGCCAACCCTTGTCCATCTCACCTCCCGAAGGGGAACAGATCCCCACAGCAGGCTCTGGCACCATTCAGGGTGCTATTTGTACCCCAAGTAGCAGCCATGCCTTCATCCCATGGGGAAGGGGATGCACAGCACCCTATCCCAGCCCAGAGCAGTCCAACCAGTTTACCTGGAGGCATGGAGGAGAGGCAGGTCCGCAGGAGCCGGACAGCTGACTCGATGATGGCAGAGGCAGTGACACAATCTTCAAAGGCTGCAGGGAGAAGATGACAGGCTGAGTCAGCCAGCCCCGCTATCAGTCCAGGCATGACCGGAAACTTGGGGCAGGCTGGGGTGGCTGGGACAGGTATTGCTCACCTTCACAGCTGCTGGCCATTGTTCCCCGGACAGAGGGGGACGCAGACTTGTGAGATGTCTCCTCCACCACTGTCTCCACAGGGCTGGAGCTGGCACTGCGGCACGATACAGGAGTGGCCTGTGGAGAAACCTGGCTTTATCAGTCTGCCTGCTCCCCCAAAGGAAGGCACACATGGCCTCAGAGATGTTCTCACCTCATTCCCTTCCACAGTTTTATAGCTCATCTGCCGACAGATTGAGGTCTTCATCAGCCCAGTAACCAGCTTGGAGATGTCATCCCTGTCCTCTGAAGAGCCCTTCTTGGCTGAGGAGAGCGCAAGAGATGAGCACACTGCTAGCATAAAGGATGGGAACATCCAGGTCACTCATCCCAGTTGCTCAGCTCTCCCTTATCTATTCCCATGCCCATGAAGGCAAGGAGGGTGTCAGACAGCTGCCTCCCACTTTCACTTCCCAGTTCTCATGCAACACAGGACTTCCAGGAGGAACTGCCCGCACAGTATCCGCTCTCCAGGCACACACCCATGCCAGGCCACCAGGACAAGAAGCGCAGGGGCACACCCAGCTTATGCTCTCCCCCAGGCAGGGGGTCCAGAGAGATGCATTAGGAGGTCTCTCCAGAAAACTGGATCTATTTCTTCCTGAAGGAAGAGTCACCCAGAGACTCCTTGAAGAGGGACAAACTTACCCTTAGGTTTCTTCTTCCCAAAGAGTGTCTTGGTGACTTTAGCAAACAGAGTCTTTGCAGGATTGGGGGGACTCAGCTCTGGAGCCATCACACAGCTGCTGGGAGGGAGTTTCTCAGGCGTGTAGCCCTGCAGAGAGGTCAAGGGAGAGGTTTGGTTTCCACAGGCCACATGCTCCAGGCAGAGCAGCTGCCCTGGGCTGACCACAGTCATTCACATCCCTCCTGACAGCCAGCTTGTGTTTCCGTCAAGCCTCGGAATCATGACTGGCATTAGCACAGGAAACAACCCCTTGCTATAGCAACAAGGCAGCAGAAGCACACCAGATCCCTCAGTTCCTCTGGCTGGCATTTGGGCAGGACAGCGGCTGCTTCCTTTGAAGGATTGACACTTAGGACAGGACAAAGACAGCATCCTGCACAGCCCAAAAAGTGTTATCCCACCTGGAGAAGGGGCCCTTGACCCAGGCAGGCCCCCACCCACCCACCTTGAAGAACTCATGGTCCAAAATCTCCTCAAGGGTGAGCCGGTCCTGGGGGTTGCGTCTGAGGATGCCAGTGATGAGGTGCTTGGCAGGCAGGGAGAGGAAGACGGGGAGGGTGTACTCCACCTGCTTGATACACCTGTACGTCTCCTTGAGGTCAGAGGTCTCAAAGGGAGGGTTCCCACACAGCAGGGTGTACCTGGGAGGGGACAGGCATGCCACTGTCAGATCCCCACCAGGCTTGTGACTCAGCAACACTTAAAGCAAGGAAGTTATTGGCATTTGGCCGGCCACACCTGGCTGAGAGCACCACTTCCAGCCCTGACAGCCACGCTCACATCCGGCCATGCTTCCTCCTAGCAACCGTTTAGAGCAACAGGCAAGGAGCCTTGAGGAAGGACAAAGAGATGGCAGGCAAAGGCCACCCACTGCACCCATCTGCACGGCCATCAGGGTGGGAAATGGAGCAGGAAGCTCGCAGGCAGGAGAGGGGCTGGCTGTGCCGAAACAGCAATCGCTCCCCGAGCAAACAGTGCGGCAGCCACGGAGATTTTCCGTTGTTTATCAGGTTCACAGTGCGGTCAAGCCTGCTTTGAGCCAG